CCGGGCACGGCGGGGCAGGTCAGGGAAGGGCAGGTCAGTGCAGGGCAGGGCAGCACCGGCATCCAAGGGAACCGGGGTCTTGCTGCTAGGGGCAGCGTTCCGACAGCTTTTGCCTTGCCATGGAGGAACACTTTGCTATGCCCCATTTCACTCCATTTTCCACCCGGCAGCCAGGGGCTCCCCTGGGCTGGGATTCCCCAGAACCAGGGTGACCCCACTGGAGGCTGGAGCTACCGCGCTTACGGAGACGCAGCGGCAGCTTGGGGCAGAGATGCTCTTGCGTGATGGGCGTGAGCTCTCCCACCGGCTTAATCACCTGCTTGCGTCGGCACTCCCCCACGGCCACGCCGGGGCTGGGGCGTGACTCACGCTGCCCAGGGGAGGCTGCGAAAGCCAAGCCCAGATAAATCTGTCAGGGGCCCCAGAACAGCTCGTGCGGCGCAGACCCAGGCTAACACGGCTGCCTTCCGAGTCGTACTGTGACCTCACACGGCCACGACACAAAGCGACCCTCTGCCAGGGCGCAGTCACGGCTGAGAAAAATAAAGGGAAACTTCTCAGCTTTTGATGAAATGCTGCCGTTTGCCAGTGTGGGGCTCTAGGGGAGCAGTTCTCCACATGCTGGATGCCCAGAGAAAAGCGCGGCTCTTACTGGGGGCTGCAGCGTGGGAAAAACCAGGGGCTTTTCTCTCCAATCGCCCAGGTATGAATTTTGGTGCCGAGGCTTGGACGTGAGATCCCTCGCCTGATCCTCCTGACATTTCGCATGCTTGCAGATGATCAGGGCAGAGCCAGCCTGGGAGCTCCCTCAGATTTGCTTCTCCTTGCAAACAAGCCCTGAGCCCCCCGTAGCTAACCTAACACCTGTCTCAAGAGCGGTGCTGCGTGCGAGAGCCGAGCACACAATGTCAGCGCCTCTGACACTGGCGCGGACCCGGCAGAGCCAGAGGCAGCGACACATGTTGAGTGGAACATGCGCACAGGTCACGGTGACGAAAACAACGTGACGAAAGCTTGAGAGTGGAAGGGAATCAAAGGGCTCGGTGCCCCAGACGAGGACTTTCCGTCACTGTGCCTGAAGAGGGGCACGGTGTGCGGGGCAAGCAGGCCGCCGGGGGGGAGAAGGCCAATTTTCTATCTCTAGCCAGGCGTTCTGCAGGGGAGCCCGGCACAGCGTCCCTGCACCCACCGTAGCACAGCCCAGAGCTCTGGCGGCCTCCAGCAGACACGGTACGCCATCCCCTGGCCACTCAAGGGGCTCTGGCGCTCACTGGTAGGCTGTGCCAGGCCGGGAGCCAACAGCCGGACTCCCATGGCCGCCCGGCTGCGCTTCCGGCAGGCTGCCTCCTGCTGCCAAACACAGGATCCCAACAGTGCAGCCTCCCGACTGGCCCACTCGACGCTCCCTGTTCTGCCACCTCCCCCTGCCCAGCGCTGGCACCACGCGCCAGCGAGCCCGGGCGCTACGGGCCCAAGCCCTCTCGGCCGGTCCCTGGAGAGTCCTGTCTGGAGCACGGGAGAGGTGCAGCAGCCCGTGTCAAAGGGCCCCGCCCCGCCCCGCCCCGCCCCGCCCCGCCCGCTGGGCACACGACACTTACCAGACACTCGGTCGATACTGTACATCCGCTCCAGCTTCTTCCTGCGCCAGCCGGTCTCCCGGGACTGGTGCTGCTCCAGGTCGAAGGAGTGCTGCGAGTGGGCCGCCAGCCGCGCACAGGTGGGGCACTCCCTGGAGCCCTGCCGACCGCCTGCCCAGCCCTTGCAATGCCTGCCAACGCTCTGGGAGCTGCCCCCGCCCTGCAGGGCCCGGCCATGGGGGCAGGCCTCACGGCCGGGGCCTTTCATCACCACCAGCTCCAGGCTCTCGCTCCCGTGGTCTGACAGCATGGGCCGCTCCCCGGAGATGGTGTACACCCGCGCCGACAGCCCCTCGCTCGGCAGCTGCTCCGCCCGCTCCTCCGAGAAGCTCCGCTCCAGCTTGCCATCGGAGAGGACGGACAGCCGGCGCTTGTTCTGAGCCGCCTGCTGCAGCTCGGGGGAGTCTTCCTGCCCCAGGTAGGAGTCCGCTAGCAGGTGATCTGAAACAGAGGGCAGACGCTGCGGGCTGGGGCCTGGTTCGCTGTGTGGACGAGGGAGGACAGATACACCGGGACCCGCTGCCCTCACACGCCTCACGCCTGGGGCCGACCCAAGGGGCAGTTCTGCTTTGCAAACTGGCTCAAGGAGCACACCGCGGCCCAGGCGTTCTTTGGGTGCCGGATCGCTTTCTGCATCTGTTGTTTAAAAAGCAGGAGAGCAGGAAGCAGCAGTTCTCTGAGTGCCCAGCAAATCCAGAGGAGCTGACCCCCACGGTGAGGGAGCCCTGTGTCAGGGGCCCAGCAAGCCGCCCTCAGCCCTGCTTGTAAGCCGCCCGGAAAGGAGGCAGCAACACAGCTCTGCGTGGCGTGAGGAGCCGACGCCCGGCGGGGAATCGCAACGTAATCTCCGCTCAGAGCACGGGCACGGGGCCAGGAGGTCTCCGACCCATTCCCAGCCCCGGTTACTCGTTCGGGGGAAGGGGGGCAAAGAAGGGGCGGGGCCGGCCAGAGCCCGGAAGGAGAAGTGCGGGGAGACAAACATCCAACATGGCCAGCGAGGCACCGTCCGGCCTGCTGGGACGCTGGATGGACCCTTCCTCCAGCAGCTCAGCACCCACGGCCAGCCCTGGAACCAGCCTCCGGAGAGCAGCAGCTGGCCAGGAGAGAGGGACAGAGACCTGCAGGGAGGCATCTGCAAACAGCCGACTCCACTGAGTCCTGCCCCCACTTCGCCCGTTTGCCTTTCGCCGCGGGGCCCCCGGACCGGTGCTAGCGACAAGCGAGTGGGACAGTCGCTCTGGGCTCTCGGGCTAACGGCAAGCGGGGTCCTGCCCACGCAGCGAGGGGTCTGCAGCACGGACAGCCCCGCGGGACACGGAGCAGCCCAGCCGAGATCCCTCCAGCTCGCTTCACTCGTGACGTAGGGAGACCTCGGGGATCCTGCAGTTTTGCTGCCCAGGGGAGCTGGGGGCATCTTTTCATGGCATTCACTGGCAAATCGTCTCGCTGCTCCCCGTGAGCCCCGGCGACACCACCAATGCGCAGGGTGGAGGAGGAGCAGTGGCCAAGAGACCCACTGCCACGTGCACCACGACCACAGAGAACAGCGCTACCCCGGACAGTGCCTCCATCGCCCACCCACACGCCCAGGGTCACTCCAGCAGCTGTCACTCAACAGCAGGCTCCCTTCCCCTGGGCCCAGACACTAAGCTAGTTCGTTACAAGCTCCCAGACGCCGCAGCGGAGAACGCAGCCAGGCCCGGAGGAGGGCGCCCTCACACCCGTCTCTGCTCCAGCAAATCCCCCGTGAACAGAGCCAGCAAGCACACACCACGCTGGCAGCTCTGGCAGGGGTTACACACCCCATGCCCTGGGTTAAAGCTCCCACCCGGACAGAACACAGAAAGACCCTCGCCCACCCACAGGCTACCGGCCGGGACTGAACACGACATCACCAGGCTATTCAGGGAGATACACGACATCAGCTACACTTCCCGGCGAGGCCCAGGCAAGCCTGCAGATGGGCATGAATAGTGTGAATTTCAAATTCTGCTTTGAAAACTTGGTATCCACCCTGCAGTCTGCCAGGTTCCTCTGGATTTACACCAGCGTAAGTGACGGCAGAGCTGGCCCGCGATACGAATCGCCCTGTGAGCTGAAATAACCGCCGAGTTAAACTTCTTGTGAAACGATTCCTAGTACTAACTACAGGCAGTCCCCGACTTACGCGGATCCCACTTATGTCGGATCCGCACTTACGAACGGGGCTCTCTCGCCCCGGAGGTCGAGGTGGCGGATTGCTGCCTGCGAGCTCCGGGGCGAGAAAGCCCCGTTCGTAAGCTGCTCCCGGTGCCCCTGGTCTGCCCCGGTGCCAGAGCAAAGCCTCAGGGGCACCGGGACTGAAGCCACAGCAGCGGCGGGAGA